TTGACCCCTGGATATAGGGGTCTAATTTTGCCCTTGCGCTGCAAACTTGCAGTGGAGGGAACGTGTTCCTGTTCCTGCACGTGCCTCTTGCAGCATCTCAAAGGGGTTTGAGCCACTGCAAGAGGCATGTGCAGGCCCCATGGTTGCAAAAAAGGGGTTTTAGTAGTTCTTTTTTAAGAAATAACTTTAGGAAGTACATTACAATGTACAACTCAGAACAATTTGTAATCAAGTTGTCAAGTTGCTTGTAACTGGTATAATAATAAATAATCTCACTTATGTATCTTTAAAAAAATGTAACTACATAGATTTTTCATTAAAAGGATTTTTTTGCTAAGAAATTGCTGTCCATGTGGAATATGCAGTTCGGTGAATGATTTTTGATTAGGTGACGCTCTTAAAATAGCAGCATCAGTAAATCAGTTGTTGCTATCTATGTAGGAGATTGCCAAATTGAGTTTACTGTAAATCTTTAAAATTTATCTGAACGTATACATTTTATTTTAGAATTGAGGTGACAGTAGATTTAAAATTGTATCAGTGACTTCGATTCCCAGGGTTGTGGGAGATGTTGAGATTCCTTTCTAAAACAGCTTGGAGATGTTGGTTGTTAATTTTCTGCTCAGAGGTTTGCCATGATACTGCCTGTTTCACAGCCCACCTTTCTCTTTGAGAATTATTACTTCCCATTAGTTAATTTTTTAGCTGGTCAGGGGACAGTGAAAGAGATTCCTGTCTGTTGGATATGAACATTTTGTCTCTGCAATACAGGCAGTCCTTGGACTTATGACACAATTGGCTCCTAAAAACCCCATCTTAAGTTGAAACATTGTAACTCAGAACCAACTTTCTTGTGAGGGACAATATTATAAACGGGGGATTGGTTCCTGAACCAAGGCCCGATACCCTATTTTCACTAAAAATACCCCAGAATTTTGTACTCAATCAATTATAGATGAGTAATATAGCTACATTAATGTATTTATATTGCAAATAGCAATCATATTGATTTGGGAGGACTTCTTGAAGGTGACTTTGCTGGACTTTTTGAAAGGCTCTTGGTTGGGCTTTTTGAAGCATTCTTGGCTGGAGTCTTCTCAGGAACCTTGACTGCAGGTTTTTCTGGAGTCTTTTCTGCTTTCTTAAAGAAAGTGCCCAAGGAAGTTTGGACAGATGTTCTCCAGGGAGATGAGCGGCACAGTGAACTTGTTCGCTGGCGTGGTGTTGCATTAGATCAAGTGTTGTAAAGTCAAAACTGACATCATAAAGTTGAAACAGAGTGTCAATTTATAAACGTTGCAAGTGCGAAACTTAACTCGAAATGTTGTAAGTCGAGTACTGGTTGTACAACGCTGCTGCCAGACAAGGGAGCAAGAACCAGGAATTACTTTTGTAGAGCTAACATTTAACATTTACCGGACTAAATTCTATGATTTTTTTTTTAATCAACATAGTTACAGTAAAAAAAATTTTTTTTTTAATTAAAAAAAAATCTGATTTGGAGACTTGAGAATTCGTGAGCAGCATATATCTGTTTCTGAAATGACTCAAAAAGAATTTGTACCCAGCATAAATTGCTTATAATGCTGGTAAACATTTTTGTATTTTATATTTTTATTATGCTTTTTATTCTAGGTTCTCTGTACGGTTACATTTGATTCATTAGAATCTAGTATGAAATCCGATGTCATCACAACAGCTATGAGGTAAGTCATCTTGCTTCTGTTGTTGTGTAGCATTTTTAATTAAAGAACCTGGGTGTTTAAACACATTTGATAAAAGTTCCTTGAACCTGCGTAAATATAGATTGAGTAATGGAACAAGCTGTTTATATGAGTTGTGGAATATTCTGCACTGGAGATTTTCAATGACCACTAGATAGACATCCATCTGCGAGGTTACAGGGACAGCAAAGCTTGCATGTGTGCAGTAGAGTTGAATTGGATAGCTATTGAAGTCTCTTTGAAACCTCTGATTCTATGGTGATCACTATTTTTCAAAGAGAAGTCTAAGAGTGAGCTCCTAAATAAATGGCCCACTTCCAGAAGTCTGTACAGTCACTTTTTCTTTACTGGTTTTGGTTATATTGGTTCATAGGTTACAAACAATAAATTGAAGAATATTTTAAGTAACTACCTACTCTTTTTTTTTTCTAAAAAGAGACCACCTGCTATAAGCAGAAGACTCCTGAATGAGTAAGACATAATATGCCCGACTCCTGCATCTTTTAAAATCTGGGGCAAAGGTTTTCATTTTTTCCAAATATTTATTGATAAAATAATGGCATATCTTCATTGTTTTTAATGAGACAATGATCGTGCTGCACAATTTTCTCATGGAATGTGTGTTAACCATAAGTCTGTGCAGTAAGGTGCTATTCTTTAGATTCAGTACAATGCAACACATGGAGCAACATGTTGTCTCATGTTAGCAGCTACCTTTCCAAGACCTTAGCATAATGCTGGTTTGACTCGTTCAGAAATTTATAAAATTGTTGGATGACTGATTATTCTTTAGTTGAAGCAGTCTTTCCAAATACACTAATTTGTTGGAAGAAAAATCTTCAATGAATGGAAAAGGTCCTCATTACTTCAGAGACTAACTGAATTTTTCCGGAACCAATACATGGCCTAGCAAGACACATCATCTTGATGATGATACCACTAATCTATACTGGTGACAACCAGTGTATTAAAGAAAAAATCTATTTAGGCTTTGGTGCAGTCATCTGATCCTACCCTATCTGGCACCACCTGTGTTTTGTCCTTGCAGCTATTCAACAGCTGACCGTGTTTCCTGGATGCTTAACCTCATTTTGCTCACCTTTATAAATTAATTTATCAGCTCATAATTTTCACATTGCTAGGCAGTAGCGAGGACTTGACTGTAGAAACACCTATGATAGGATAGATTACTCTAGTGCTCTTTTTCTAAAGCAATTGTGGCCAACCCCTTTGGCCCTGTGGGCTACATGAGGAGTGCCAGGTCAGTCTGTGGGCCCGATCCCCATGCATGGGACTGGCCCGTTCTTGGCACGCAGGGCCTGGAAATTTGGCAGCAGGGGTGTAGTGCCAAAGTTAATTGCCATAGCTCACCCATCACCAAATTTCTATACCTGTGGGGAGACTTATGGGTACAGTGGCCTGGCTCCATGGGCCTGGGGCTGAGCATCCACTTCTTTAAAGCATCCACTGCTGCTGTCAAAGGCAGGATGCTCAGCTAAATGGACCATTAGTCTGACCCAGTGTGGCACTCCTTATGTTCTGAACTTTAATTTAAAGGTAATTCAGTTATGAACTAGTTTTCCTACTAGCCTCAAATATAACACAGAAGCTAAATCTAAGCTTCTAAATAGCAATACCGTTTCAGTTTAAATGCTGTATTTCAGTTCAGATATGATAGAAGAAATATCAGTGCAATTAAATCAGTATGTCCCTTCATGTGCGTGCAGGTTTAGCTGCGTACGGATGCTTTATACTTGGTACAGCTTTTTCTATGGTACAGTAAAGCCAGTATGAGACATCTTTGATAAAAATGTTTTTTAACTAGGTGGGTTGTTTGTACTGCTTTACCTGTAGTTGAAAGGGCATTGGGGAGGGGAGGCCAGACACCTTAAATTCATGTAATACAGGGAAATAATATATAGAAAGCATTAAAGAAAATGAATATATATTTCAGCTGATTTGCTTGACATGCTACTTTGCTTCACTTTTACATTTGTAAACATTTATAGGAAGTGATAAAAAGTTAGGCTGCTCCTTTACCATACACTGTAAATGGAAGGTGTTCAGTTGCTCTTATTTGACACATTTTTTTTAAATTTCTAGTGGAATAAAAGATAAAAACTTTATGCTGCATTATGAGGTAAGAGTTTTATTTTGTTTCACACTTTGTTGCAGGTTCTGCAGTTTTGCTTTAAATACTGAAACTGATTGCTCTTAAATGATGCACTGTTTTATTTGAAGACTTAAAATTTTTCAGTGAATAAATTTTAATACATGAATGTGAATTCCAGCCCATAGTAAAACCTAGGTCTTTCTTTTAAAAAATTAGTTTTACTCTAAGAAAAAAATAGTAAGTTTTTTGTTTTTTTTTTAAATAAACTGTACCTAGTAAAGTGCTTTATATGCATTACAAGATTACTTGAGAAACCTTCTCTAGCTAATCAAATTAGGCCGTGTGCTAATCATAATGATTTTTAATTAGCTTCATGAATATGTCCAACTAATTTACTAACCAAATAGTAAATAAGAATTGCTCGTGTAAACACTTCTCGTTCTTTGGGCCATGCTCAAAATGTGTCACAAAGCCAATATATTTTCTAAATCTGTAGCAATATGAGTATGATTATGAGCATGGAAAAATATATGCTGGGAGCAGTCTCAAAAGGGGAAGTGCAGCTGGGGAGATCCTGCAGCAGTTGTTTCATCATGATAGGTGCGGGTAAGATGCTTCAAATTGAACTGTTTCAACCAGGCTGAACCATGATCATTTAGCTGGATTGCATATAGGCTTGTGTACAACTAACAAAGCATGACAGTTGCTATGCTATAGAATAGCAGCTTCCTTTCCCTTCTGGAGCCACTCCAAATGTACATTTGTCCATGCCCTGAGAAGGAAAGAGGCCTTGTACAATATTTTACAGATTTAATTAGAGTAAGCACTGTATCAAATTAACATCTGAAATTAAAACAGAAAGAAAGGGACCATGCAGAAAAGGAAGAGAAGTGGCAATTCAGATTAAGCAAAAGCAAACAGGAAAGAAGGATAACTAAAGGCACCACTGATTGTCCTAATTTTCTGTTGTGAGAATTGTATGTCACCAAGGTTACATGCATGCCAGAGATGGGAAGGGTTGTCACTGATTCACAAAAAAACAAAGATTGTCTGTTGAATTTTGTATGGTGATTTTGGTTACTGCAATTTGTAATGCACAATTGTTTAATGTATCTCATTAGCAACTCCTGCATAACAACAACAACAGAGTTGCATCAGAAAATCTGTGGCACTAGTGCAAGGGTGGGCAAAATATGGCCCACTGGCTGATTTTAGATATGGCACGCTGCTGCCCCTGCTGCTCTTGGCATGCGGCCTATGTTGCACTCCCCACCTCTCCCACCAGAGGGCCCTAGCCCCAGCCAGCAGGCACAGCTTCTGGGCAAGGCTGCTGCTGAAACCACCTAGGGAACTTCTGGATGCCCTGGCCTCCAGTGACTCCTGTCCCTGCTGCAGCGCTCCAGGCAGCAGGTAGGGAGGGGAAGCTGCAGCATTGAGGAGAGCAGGCTCTGCCTGTAGCTAGCTCACTTTGGTCTTGCTTGTGCATGGCTTGGCAGGGGAGCACATGAATGGGGGTGTGGGGGTGTGAAGGAGCTTGGCTGCCCACAAAGCCCCTCTAGGCAGGCACAGGACAGGCAGGTTGGGTAGGAGCAGCAGCAGGAGACAGTGTGAGCTTAGCTGCAGCCCCACCAGGCAGGCTCAGGACAGAGACCAAAAGAGCCAGTGATGCCATGCTCAACCCCTTCCCCTCCAAATCTCCTAGGGGCTTCACTTGCTGAGTGCCAGCAGCAGCTGTTTTCTCACCCCTTTGGAGCATGCTGCGAGCCAGGCAGGCAGCGCTCTTTCCCCTCCCATTCCACCCCCGCATATGGAGGGGCTGGGTCAACCACATTGCAAAGAGCAGGTGGAGGGGCAAGCCCCCGCAACATGAACACCCTACCCTACACACACGTGCACGCCCCACCCAACCACATACTCCCCCAATCCTACAAACCCCGTACACCCCCACAATTTACAAGCAAACCCTTCCCCTCCCAAAAGGAGTACTTCCTGGGCAAATGGAGAGACTTCCGATGGCAAAGGTAAGAGGTTAGGGGGATGGGACTTCTGGTCCCAAGATAGCGACCGGGGGAGGGGCACTTGTCAAGGAGCAGAGCTACCCTTGCGGCCCTCAACACCTCACCAAAACTTGTTAAGCAGCCCTCCAGCCAAAATAATTGCCCACCCATGCACTAGTGAAGTAAATCCATCACCACTGTTCACTGAAATCACAGAGCATACATTAGATGGGTGGTCTGTCCATCCATCCGTACTTTCTCCCCAAGAATGACAAATTATAAAATGAAATCTCTTTAGGTGGATCCAGGATTTGTTGATGATTTAGGAGATATTTTTTATCAAATAACCAATTCAAAGTTTTTTTTCTCGAGGTACAGTTGTGAATGTTCTTAGAGACTTTTGGTGCTTGTTTTGGGGCCAACAAGCAGTCAAAGGTATGGGGGCACCGCATGTTTCCTAACTTTCTTTATGAAAATTTCACTTTCTAGTTTCCTCCTTATGCAACTAATGACATTGGCAGAGTTACTGGTATGAACAGAAGAGAACTTGGACACGGTGAGTGAAACTTAGAGAAGTCTGACATTATTAAAAAAAAAAAAAAACTTCATTTTTTCCTGTTTTGTTTTTTTTTTTTTAATGAAGTATTTTTGTACCTTTTATGTATACAGGTGCTCTTGCAGAGAGAGCTTTGAAGCCAGTTATTCCCCAAGATTTCCCATTCACAATAAGAGTTACTTCAGAAGTCTTGGAATCAAATGGTATTAATATTTCACTTTTTAACTTAATGGCAAAGATTGGTGTCTTTCCTAAACTATGTTGAGTTTGAGAAACTGCCTTGCATTTTAGCTAAATGGCTTGTTTATCCTATCTAGTTCTTAAATTAAGTTCTGAAAATTAGGAACACTTGGATGTTTTTGAACCTCAGTCCTGGCTCCTAAAGCACTGCTTTAATTGATAGTAGTATGCTATTTGATGTACACGTATGGGTAATAAAATGGTATTACAGTAAAAGCTGTGTTAACCGGCACTTTATTAGCTGGAAAACTCATTAACCGACATCTGAACAACACAGCAAAAGTGAACCTGGAAGCACCACTTCCAGGGGGCTTCCTGTTTCACCATCACTAGCTGAGTTTTTCTTTGCCACTTTTTCAGCCCATGACCCAGGGCAAAGCAACCTGCACGAGGAAAAAGCAGCCTGCACAGGGCCTCCCTCCCTGTCCCCCAGCACACTGACGCCGGGGAATGTACCAGACAGTGCGCATTTGATTAACCGGCATCCCCCATTCCCAGGGGGCTTTTAACAGAGCTTTTACTGTTTAAGGTATTTTGTACGGTTGAGAAACAAGGTGAATTAGTCTATACTGAGGTCTGTGCTCACTGTGGCTAGATTATTACTGCAATTGACATTCTGCAGTTTGCAGCATAAGCGGACTTGCCTGCAGGTGTCTTTTGTCAGAATTTATCATTTTAAACCCTATGGCCATGTCTACATACGCAGGCACACGCGGTTTGTGGTGGCACAAACCTCATGTGTTTCACATTTAGCAGTGTTGTGCAGAGTTTATTTGCAGTGTGGGTGCAAAATTGCTATGGTCGGAACGGAAGAGTGGGAGCTTGGAGAAGCTGGGCATGGGAAGTTTGCCCACAGCAGGACAGTGTCTCCCACAACAAAGCACATGTATAGGGGCATGAGCTGCAGCACACAGCAGCACAGATTTGTGTCACTGCTATTTGTGTCGCTGCAAGCATACAACCCTCCTCGTCTGGACGTGGCCTATGTGTTGGTAAATGTAAACTCTTGCATAACTGGGAAACGCCATCTCTTATCTGCCCAGGGGTGCTAATTCTTGAACTGTTACTGAAGAATTTCAATAGAGTAGTTTTGCTTTACTTGTATTCAATGACTATTTTATAATCTCTTCTCTGACTAGGATCCTCTTCAATGGCTTCTGTATGTGGTGGAAGTTTGGCCTTAATGGATGCAGGTATATTACATTCATGGAGAAGGCAGATGTGTTTGTACATTAAAGAGCTGTTAGATGTGAAGGTGACAAGATTGTTTACATGTTTTCATTTACCACTGTTAGGAGTTCCAATATCCAGTGCTGTGGCAGGTGTTGCAATAGGTCTCATTTCCAAAACTAATCTTTCGAATAATAGAGAAATTGAGGATTATCGTTTGCTGACAGACATCCTGGTGAGTGCTTGTAGCAGATTTACCTTGTGTCACATAAAGTTTCTAAAAGCTTTGACGGTGTTGTTTTATCCAGAATAATTTTGACAACATGAAATACTTGCATGCAACAACAATGCGTGCCACATTTTGTTCTTTTTTGATCTCGTTATCCACAGCTAATGACTCAGCTTTCAGTTATGTGTCTCCTTTCCTTTAAGATCAGTTAATTTCTCCATTTCTCATTTGTTCTAACCTTTATGTACAACTTGAACTTCTTGTCTTTGCCATCATCTGACTGATGAGTAATGATCTTAAAATGATTTGCTTGCTTTTTCTTCTGCCTAGATAGTTAGATATTCAGGATCAATTTTGTATGGGAGTGCTACCTGTTGCTGAAGTGATATAAAATTCAACCATGGCTGTTTGAAAACTATCCTATAGAAAAGGATTTAGAATGTAAGGTGGAAGAACCTTGACTTCATAGTTTCTAGGGTCAAAAGGGACCTGAACAGATCATCAAGTCCAACCCCCTGCCCTGGGCAGGAACGAGAGCTGGGATCATAATACCCCATGGTGTGGTTAAACTGTGCTGAAGAAAGCCAGTGGTATCCTGAGAAGTGACTTTGATGCTGGGAAACAAAGTTGCATGGCATATTGGTATCTCATGTTTAACTAGCCAATTGCCCGTTATTGACAGATTTAAAATAACAAAGGGGTGTTTACATGGCTGGTGCTACCCTGCACGGGCCTCCCCCTTCCCCCGGGCCAGCCATGTAAATACTCCCTGTGCTGCTGCCTCCTCCAGCCACTGGTGTGGGGGCTCCTTCCCCCCACCCACCTCAGCCTCCTCCCCTGAGCAACAGGGCTTCCCCCTGCTTCCCCACCCCCCTCTCCACTCCCCTTTGTCCCCACCGCCTCCCCCTCCCTGCCAACTGTTGGGTGCATGTACACCTACTTCTGCCTCCTCTCTGCCCAGGCCCACACAGCCAATTGCTGCCTGCCTTCTCGGCAGCACATGCACAGTTGACCAGAAGTGTTATGGACAGACACACAAATAGACAGACTTAACCCTTTATTATATTAGAATGATGCCTTTTACTGGAATATTAAAGGTGGCTTTGATTTGGTGGGGGGTTCTTGAACCATTTGTTTCTGTATACTTTTATAGGGAATTGAAGATTACTATGGCGATATGGATTTCAAAATGGCTGGTACTAATAAAGGAATAACTGCTTTGCAGGTATCATAGTTTATTAAATCCTTTTAAAATGTACAAAACATCACTTGCCTCTTGCATTGTTCTCACTTTAACTTTTTTCATGTTAGGCTGATGTAAAACTACCTGGGATACCAGTAAAAATTGTAATGGAAGCCATCCAACAGGCCACAGGTAAATCCATATTTGTATTCAATGTTTGTGTTCAAAGGGTAATTCTTCATTATTTCCTATCTAAAACTAATCTTCCTAGATTTAAAGTAATTGTAAGACTGGAGAAATGTTTGATGAAACATTTGCAAGGTGCATTTAAGATTGCGAGGTCAAAAAAGTACAGTTCTTTTCCTAATCTAAAAAGATTTGTAATATGAACATAATTTTTCCTCTTCTCTCAAAACTGAAAAATGACTTCGGACTGGAAAAACAATCTGTCTATGAGCATAGGAGCAATGGTAAACGAAGAAAAGAAAAGAAAAATGTAATTTTAAACAAGAGTTACTAAATCTATCTAGGACAGTGAGTGCCAGGGTGCAAATAAAGAAAAATCTTCTGTGGAGCAACTTTGATGTTATAGACTTATGAAAATTTTATTTGGGTGTCTCAGTTATGTTTTCATGCTTACTCCAAAAAGCAATATATGGCAAAGAAGGCAAAACCTTTTAAAGGTTATGCTTACATCTTACATGCATAGATTATGGTTTAAGATTTTGATTCTATAAAAACATGCTTGCAAGTTGTAGAAAAAGCAAGTAGTACAGTGCTTTTGGCATTTGGTTTTAGAATTTGATTCTAATATATGGTTGATTCTATTAAGTGAGATTCTAATAACTGGCAGATATGGTATTCCAATTTTGGCTTATTTGTGACTTAATCATTATATCAAATCAAGTGTAAGAAGCTATAGGATATATCAACAAGGATAGAGACACTAATTGTAGGAAAAAACCACCCAGAAAGCCCTGGTCTCCACATAATACCAAAGTATTTGCTAAAGCATCTAGAAGAAAATACTAATTTTTAAGGAGAAAATAGGAACAGAATGAAAACTGACACTATTCTGGAAAAATGGAAATCAGCCTAAAGAAATATCAAAACTTAACTGATTATTGTGTAAACATTAAAGAAAACAATTACAAAATATGCATAGGTTCTGTATAAGTGAAGGGAAAATATATTAAAAATGGAGCAATAAATGCTGCAGAATACAAAAAGGAACCTTTCTGCATTAGTAATAAGAATGCCTTATTTTGGAAGAAAACAATTTTCAAGAAAACTTTTAAGTTACATACAGGAATTCTATAGTGATTTTCTAAAGTTACAGTCAAAAGGAGTTGTTGATTGTTAATAACAAAATTGCTTTGAACAGCCAGGGGTATGACGACTTCTTTTTGGAGAAGAAAAGGTTTATCAGTTGTCTATTGTATGGAAAAATAATGCTTTCAGTGGAGAAAAAAAATCTTCTCAGGCTTACATTGGAATCAAATAAGATTTTTATTTTGTGGTTAGTTCTCGAATTTGAACAAAATGAGGTAACCAAAGTCAAGGTTAATGTTTATTAGTATTTGTATAGAAAGGTCCTCTGGAACAATTGTTTTTTTTTTTAAATAAGCTTTCTGAAAGAATCGTTTTATAAAAGTTTAAAAACTTTCTCTTTCTTGCCAGTTACAAATAGAATCATAGAAAATTAGGGTTGGAAGGGACCTTAGGGGAGGTCATCTAGTCCAACCTCCTGCTCAAAGCAGGACCACCCCCAACTAGATCATCCCAGCCAAGTCTTTGTCTAACTAGGTCTTAAAAACCTCTAAGGATGGGGACTGTACAGCCTCTTGGGGTAACCTGTTCCCATGTTTTACTACCCTCCTAATGAGAGGGGTTTTTTTCCTAATATCTAACCTAAATTTCCCTTACTGCAACTTGAGACCATTGCTCCTTGTTCTGTTACCTGCCACCAGTGAGAACAGCTGAATTCCATCTGCTTTGAAACTACCCTTCAGGTAGTTGAAGGCTGCTATTAAATCCCCCTTCCACTGCCTTAGTCTTCTCTTTTCCAGACTAAATAAGCCCAGTTCCTTCAGCCTCTCCTGAAAAGTCATGTGCCCCAGCCCCGTAACCATTTTCATTGCCCGCCACTGATCTCTCTCCAGTTTGTCCACATCCTTTCTGTAGTGGGGCATGCAAAACTGAACACAGTACTCCAGATGTGGCCTCATCAGTGCTGAATTGAGGGGAATAATCACTTTCCTCAATCTTCTGGCAACCCTTCTACTAATGCAGCCCAGTATGCTGTTAGCTTTCTTTGCAACAAACAGTGTTGCCTCATATTCAGCTTACTGTCCACTGTAACCCCCAGGTCCTTTTCTGCAGATCTGCTGGTCAGCCAGTCGGTCCCCAGCCTCTAGCAGTCCTTGGGGCACTTCTTTTATTGAACCTCATGGAACTTCTTTGGTCCAATCCTCCGATTTGTCAAGGTCTCTCTGAGTCCTAGCCCTACCTTCCAGCACATCTACTGCTCACTCCAGCTTGGTGTCATGGTGCACTTCATCCCATCTTCCAGGTCACTGATGAAAATATTGAACAAAACCAGCCTGAGGACTGATCCCTGTGCCACTCCACTTGATACCGGCTGCCAATTAGAATTAAGCCATCGATTACTACCCCTTAAGCCCAGTGATCCAGCCAGTTTTCTATCCACTTTGCAGTCCATTCACCCAACCGATACTTCCTCAGCTCGCTTGTAAGAATGCAGTGGGAGACTATATCAAAAGCCTTGCTAAAGGCAAGGTCTGTATCACGTCCACTGCTTTCCCTGCATCCACAGAGTCACTCATCTCATCATAGAAGGCAGTCAGGCTGGTAAATCCATGCTAACTGTTCCAAACACCTTTTCCTCCAAGCACTTAGAAATGGATTCCTTGAGGACCTACTCCATGATGTTTTCCAGTAACTGTGGTTAAGCTGATCAGTTTGTAGCTCCCCGAATTCACCTCCTTCCCTTTCTTTAATATAGGCAGTATATTTGTCCTTTTCCAATCGTCCAGGACCCCTCCCAGTTGCCACAAGTTTTAAAGGTGGTGCCAAGTGGCTTTGCGATCACATTGGCCAACTCCCTCAGCACCCTTGGGTGCATCCCATCCAGCCCCATGGACTTGTACACATCCAGCTTTTCTAAATAGTCCCTAACCTGTTCTTTTGCCACTACTGGCTGTTTAGCTCCTCACTAAACTTTGCTGCAGGTGCAGTAGTCTGGGAGCTGACCTTGCCTGTGGAGACTGAGGTGAAACAGGCATTGAGTATTTCAGCTCTTTTTCTGCATCCTGTCAATAGGTTGCCTCCCCCATTCAGTAAGAGGACCCACACTTTCCCTGATCTTCCTGTTGTAGCTGACATACTTGTAGAAACCCTTCTTGCTGCTGCCCCTTGCTAGCAGCAACTCCAGTTGGGCTTTGGCCTTTCTGATTTCATCCTGCCTGCCCCAGGAATGCTCTTATACTCCTCCCTAGTTGTTTGTCCAAGTTTCTACTTCTTAAAGCTTCCTTTTTGTAATTTAGCATACTAAATTGTTTCTTGCTAAGCCAAGCTGATCTTCTGCCATACTTGCTAGTTTTCCTGTGCATTGGGATGGTTTGTTGCTGCACCCTCAGTAAGATTTCTTTAAAGTACAGCCAGATCTCCTGAACTCCTCTCCCCATCAGACTGGCTTCCCCGGGGATCCTGCCCATGAGTTTCCTGAGTGAGTTGAAGTCTGCTTTTCTGATGTCCAGGGTCTGTACTCTGCTGCTGTTCTTCCTTCCTTTCCTTGGGATCTTGAACTCAATTATTTTGTGTTCATTGCTGCTCAAGTTGCCATCCACTACTACATTCCCCACCAATTCTTAACTTGTTTGTGAGCAGCAGATTAAGAAGAAAGTGCCCCCTAGTTGGTCTCTCCAACACTTGCACCAGGAAGTTGTCCCCAGCACTCTCAAAAAAATTTCCCAGATTGCCTGTGCATTGCTGTATCGCTCTCCCAGTAGATGTCAGGCTGATTTGAAGTCCCCATGACCACCAGAGCCTCCTATCAGGAAATAAGCTCTGTATAAATTATTTCAGCTACTGAATTAATATTGCAGCACCCAAAACAAAAAATTATTTCTGAATGAAATAGGACTGTGCTTTTCCCCCCCCCCCATGTCCTCATTCAGTTAAAATTGTACTGAGAGCTAAGCATTTTTATTATAGTTTCTCTGATTAGAGTAGCTTTGGCTACTCCAGAGATGTAGTAGACAACAATATTCAGCCAGTTGGGATGAGATCCAAGAACGGGTATTTGGCTATCATCTGAGTAATCCCATGCTTCATGCTTGCATCCAATGGAATCCTGGCAAAGGAAAAGGAAAGGGTGACTACTGCTGCCTCTGCCCATCACATAGCCCAGAAGAGGCCAACCCACAGTATGCAGCCGCATATGGCACAGGCAGTTTCACTGTATGGCATGTGGCAGATTGGAGAGGGACCAGGTAACGTAGCAACAGATAGGACAAGGAACAAAGCAGCAAATAAAGGAGGGAGCACAGGGCATGGAACAGAAAGCAGAGCAACAGATTAGGCAGAGGAAGGGAATCCAAGTGGCTTTGGAGAGAGTGTGGGCTATACATTGTGGCGTGCCTACTGAAAAGGTTGCACCCCCGTGACATAACATATCCTTCAATCCCCTTGCCCATCATAAAGCCAACATCACTACTTTTGTTTTGGACTTGAGCAGTGGGTTGGACTAAAATGAAGTGATGCATCAGCAAAGCTAAAATGGGATTCTACAATTCCATCTATCCCTCTGCCCTCTCTCCTCCTTCTTCCCCAATATTATCTCTTATTCAGCCCTAAAGCATAATAGCAAAATGGATAAAGTGTCTTGTTCTACAGATCCAAAGGTTTGAAATTCACTCTGGACTTATGTGGAAGGCTGTTCCAAGCTGTAAATAGCACTGTGTTCACTTAGGGGGGTGGGAGTCAGATGGCTAGAAATGATAGTATGTTTATATTTATTTATATTTACATATAAAATAGTGTTTAGGTTGGTTAAATCTGAGTTGCACTGGAAGATTAAGATGCTTTTTTTATGAGGAAGTTTTATAGAAATGCAGTAATCTATTATAGATATAGAAAAAAAACTTGTCATGCAAACTTGTGAAGGTGTGGGGGCTTTGGGTCTGTATGTGGGGTTTGGAGCCCAGGCAGGGGGGTCCTTGCATGCCGTGGCAGGATGCGGGGTACTGTGGGTCAGCAGTGAGGTGCAGTGGGGTGGGTGGGGCTGTGGCTTTGGAGTGAGGGGCAGGGCACAGGCATATCACCGCCCTGCCCCCTGCAATCATATAACCCCCTGACACACACACTCACGCTCACACACACTCTCGCTCTCTCTCTCTCTCTCTCTCTCTCTCTCTCTTCCTTCGTGAAACTGGAAATATGGTAACCCTACAGGAATGCAACCTGGCAGCGTATAGAGCAGCGCCCAGTAGGTGAGTCTATGCAGAGGAAGGGGCAGGGGGTGGAGCGAGGGAGTGAGGCAGGGGCTGGGGTGAATGGGGTTCCTGGGCTGGGTAGGGGATGGAGCCGCAGGATGCTTTTCCAGGGGCACTGGGGAGGTGTGGCTCCCTGTTGCTGCGCACACCCCAAGGGGAGACGTGGGGGGCATATGTCCCCCCAGATGTGTTAATGGGGCAGAGGTGGGTTGCTGGCTGGGGCTCTGTGCCCTGCTGCCTTTGCCCTAGGTGCCATGGGCTGGCCATGCTGCATGTCCCTTACCCACCCAGCAGTGGAAGGCACAATATGGCGTTGAGCAGCTCCCTGATCTAAGGCAGCAGGGTGCAGAGACCCAGCCCGTAGCGGGCAGCCCACCTCTTCCCCTTGCATAAATCTGTGGGACACATGCCCCCATGCCTCCCCCCAAGTGTGCGCAGTGGCAGGGAGCCGCAACCCCCATGCCCCTAGATGGGCCTCCCATGGTTCTATCCCATGACCTACCCTGGCCCTGGGGTCCCATTCACCCCAGCCCCTGCCCCAATTACTCCTTCACTATGGGGGCCTCGATCTGTCCCCCTGCCCCTCCACAGACTTACCTGCTGGGTGCTGCTCTACAAGCCACTGGGCAGCATTCCTAGCTTTGTGTGTGCCTGTACCTGTGCCCTCCACACCAGATGCAGCAGCCCAGAGCCCGTACCCAGGCTGCCCTGCAGCCCTCTGCACTGTCACTGCTGCCCCACTGGCCAACCCGGAAACATCAGTGATGACAGCAGAGGGGAGCCTGGCCATGCACTCCAAAACCACATGCGCAATTAACTCGTTAAAAAAATTACCGCAAGGACCAGTTAACATATTAACCATGCACGTTTATAGTGATTCATTGACAGCCCTACAGTAAACAAGTTTATATCCAGTTTAAATCTAGGACTATTTTTTCCCACACAGTTGCAAAGAGAGAAATCTTGAAAATTATGAACGAAACAATTGCAAAACCCAGACCAACAAGAAAACAAAATGGACCAGTTGTAGGTAATATTGCACGTAACCAGACATATTTGCTATCTTTTAAAATGATATTTTGAAATCTGCTCTGTTTAATCATTTCTTCTAATGATTTTCAGGTATGTATGTGTTTTTGCTGGGTGTGTCTTTCTTCCAGAGGTTCTGAAACTTTTAAATGTTAAGTATTATAGGTATGCCCTAGGGTAGGAATATGCTGTCTCATTCAACTCATTCTTTTTAAAGCTCCCACCAAATCAGCATAAGTTAGAGCATTTGGCAGTGAATATAGGGAAGGAGACAAACAGGCTAGAGTAACAGAAGAACAGATTTCTCTGGAGAAGTTAGCTGCTTTCAAGTTGTCAGGGACAGATGGTATGTACCTTAGGGTGTTGAAAGTAATTTTGGAACCATTAGCTCCAATGAAGATACTCTTTTGAGTACTTGTGGAGGTCAGGTGAGGTCCCAGATGGCTGTAAAAGGACAAATATATAGTGCTCATCTTTAAGAAAAAGGAGGAAGAGGGTCTGGGAAGGTACAGACCAGTTAACGTGACCTTGATACGTAGAAAGATCATGGAAAAGGTCCTCAGGGAACTAATTGTAAAGCATGTAGAAGAGAACAAGGCGACCAAGAACAGTCCGGATGGATTTGCCAAAAGCAAATTATGTCTGTCCAACCTGTTTTCCTTCTACAATAAGGTGGCAGGCTGAGGGATGGGGGGGCAGAGGATTGGATGCAATATACCTGACTTTACCAAGGTTTTTGACGTAGTCTTTCTCAGCATTATTAAAAGCTAAGGAAATACAGACTAGTTTGAAGGTCCTGTAAGGTTGGTATATAACTGTTTAAATCATGGTACTCAACAAGTAATCATCCATGATTCACTGTCTAATTGGGAGGAGGTATCAAATGGCGTTCCCCTGGTGTTGGTCCCGGGTCCAGTATTGTTTCATGTTTTCATTAATGATTTGGACATTGGGATTGAGTGTATGCTAAGGAAATTTGTGGACAATGCCATGTTGGGCAGCAAGGCTTAGGAGGAAAGGCTGAAAGAACTAGGGTTGTTTAGTCTGGAGAAGAGAAGGCTATGGGGGGATTTGGTAAGAGTCTCTATAATCACCCTTCAGGTATTTGAAGAGGATGGAGATGGGTTTTTCTCTGTGGCTGTAGGGAACAAGACTAGGAGCAATGACCTCAAACTTGCAGCAGCTGTAATTTATGTTGGAGATTAAGACAAATCTTCTGGCTATGAGGGTGGTCAAGCATTGTAACTGGCAGCCTAGACACATTTTGAAATCTCCATCCTTGGAGCAGGTTAAACAGACATGTGACCAGGGTGGTTTAATTGGAGATGTTCCTGCCTTGAGCAGGGGGCTGGACTATGGGTGTTCATGCACATGATCAGAGGGGAAGGGGGGACACTGCTCTAATTAAAGCACCCGGACTGTCTTGTGTAGCAGTGTCCCTGCACTTAAAAATGGCAGGGGAGGCGCTTTATCTAAAGTTCATCAAACAAACTTTGGGTAAAGCGCCCCTGCTGCCATTTTTAAGCACAGGGCCGCTGATACTCAAGACTGTGGAGGCTGCTGGAGCACAGTAATTAGTAATTAACATGCTCCAGAAGTCTTGATTAATCAAGTCTGCCCCAACATGCTGTAATCCCAGTTGGAGCAGCCTTGCTGCTCATGTATAGGCACCCTTGTGATCTTATGAGGTCCCTTCCAGCCCTATTTTCCTATGTTCCTATGAGCTTAGTGCAAATTGTGTACGTGTGTGTGTCTGGTATGTTGTTTATTCTTATTTTAACATTTCATTCTGTTTTTATAATTATTTTTTTCTTTTATTGCAAGCCACTCCAAGCCATTTTGGGAAAGACAGCATATACATCCCATCCCATAAATAAATAAAGAGAACTGTACTGACCAAGATGCTGTTCATCTTTGTTGTTTAAATTTCCATTCTTGAGAAATGATTTTATATCAACATGTTTAGGAAATACTTACACAGCATCCCACAAAAATTACAAGAGAAGTTAGTGTGATCTGATCTTAAAAATACCACACAAATATATATGCTTTGTATTTCAGCTTGCCTAAAATGCTCTTTTTCAGAAACTGTTCATGTCCCAGTGTCAAAAAGATCAAGATTTGTTGGCCCAGCTGGTTATAATTTAAAAAAGCTGCAGGCTGAAACTGGTAAGATGCTCATTTTCTGTAGCAGTTGCATAAATATGTAATTAGTTTCCTTTCACGTAGAAACACTTTACTTTATGGTGTGTTACTTCATTTATCACTATAGCACGCAGGACTGCTAACTGCATAAAAGTCTTATTGGTGCCTTCACTCCTTCTAAAACCTTTATCCTGGAGTTAGCAATTGCTCCTGGATAAAGGTTTGTTAGGGCAGAGGTACAGTAACAGGTAGACATAAGGAACTTTGAGAGCGTCTGTTTTTTGTGTAGTGCTTTAGATCTAATTTCCAGCACTTCTTGGCAATTGCCTCAACTGTGGTAGATGTACATGCACAGAATAGCAGAGGGAGAAGCTGGAGTAGTTTGTTAGACTAGCTCCTGGGATGACAGGTACAAGTGTACTTTGAAGGATTAGGTGTGCCTCATTTCAGCACAGAGTTCCCAATTCTGTGCCTGCAGAGCGGCCTAAGTCTGTTTTCTTTCAATGAGAATTGTTGTGTGTGCCTTTACATTAATAACAATGGCCCCAAGGTTGGCAGTACTGAGGGATAAGGGAAGGTGATGTCTCAGAGGAAATCCTTATGGCAAGGTTGGAAGTAATGTTTAGCTAGTTCGGGGTGGTTTAGATGTGTTTGAGCATAGACATATGTAGTTCCTGGTTGCTAGATATTACTTAGATCTGAGAAAATGGCTTTGAACCTTTTCCTACAGTGCTCACATGCTCTTATACCCAGAATTTTCTTATGTTATCTGTAACATCAGAGTAGTGGTAGAGAATGTGGTTTGCTAAAGTGACTTCTAAAGGAGTCAGATTTTATATTTATGTTGTAAAAATAGTTTGTGCCCAAAGTTTGAATTTGGTGCATGGATACAGCTCAGGCTTATTGGCCACAGCAGGTGTCCTTGAGCCCCTTACTTATTATGATGGCGTCCTGCCTGGAAAACATCTTGTTTCAGTGCTGCCTTAAGCTTGCTGCATGAGTGCTCCTCATGTGGTTGTTCTAGCTCGCTCTGACCTGGAATTCCAAACCTTTACCGTTAATTATTTTTTCAGTATTACTTTTCCAAAGGGGCCTGTAGTGTTCCAGCTGAGTTAAATGCCCAGCGACTAAAATAATTTGGAGAACTTTTGGAGCCATAGTTTACAGGTACTTAGTTTAAATTGTAAAATGTTTTTAGCAGGGACTGTATTTCATGGAATTCCTTGCTCAAATGACCCCAAATTTGAACCACCAAGTGCACCCCTGAGACCTAGCAATTTTTAAGATGATTCAAAATATCGGGTGCGTCTTATGGAGCTTAAAATAGTCTACCTTTAAAGAAAAAAAGTGTTTAACATTAACAACAAATCCAGTGCTTTGCTATAAGATCAAATATTTTTTTAAATATCATTTCCTGTAATCTTCACAAGTAAATACACTTTTTTATTGCTAAATACTAGAAAGCTCCTGTACTTATTCACTATTTGTTAGCAAACAGCAGTTAAAAATTACTTGTTTTGACTCTAGCCTGATTTAATGTTTATGGCATATCAAGTAAATACACTGTTTCAGCTTCTTTAGCCTTGAGACAGTTTAATGTTCTTAGCTACCTTGTTTTCTGTTCTGAGAGCCAGCTTCTTTTTTGGTTGCTGACTTTTAGACACTATTAGTCTGAACACTGTTACAGAAGTAGCCATCATATGGACCAGTTGCTTGGGGAAGTGTACAAACATAAGAATTGTTGCTTCAAAAGACTTAATTTTCATGGGGCTAAAATAAACTTGTCACAAACCTTCAATTTTCCTGAATGTGTCTTTGAAGTTACTGCTATAAAGACTTAAATTTTTGTAAAATAAATCATCTTTTGAAATTAGAATTATCTCAAGCTTGGGCAAATGAAAAATGCTTGAAAAGCCCCACTAAGGCTCCAGGGGAGGACAGTTGTTTGGCAAGCATAGGCTGCAAAACTGTTTCCATGCATGCTTCCATATGATGTCCAGGACAGAATCCAAAAAGAAGTATTTGGTATAATGAATATAAGTAACACACCTGTAAGTCAACTTAAATGTAGTTTTGCAGTGGAATGAACTTCCTTGCTCGGTTAGCTGTAGAGTACTTATTAACTTGATGTTTGTCATCAGTGTTTAATTCCATGTGCATTCTATTTCAAAGGTATAACTTTAAGTCAATTGGATGAAGAGACCTATTCTGTGTTTGCTCCAACACCTAATGCTATGGATGAAGCACGAGAGTTTATCAGTGCTATTTGCCAAGATGATGTAAGGACAGACTTTCCTTATTTAGTTTTGGCCCTATATCTTAAGAGCCTGTGTCTCACAACATTTTTTTTCCTACAGCAGGAGGTTCGTTTGGAATTTGGAGCTGTCTATGTAGCCACAATAGTTGAAATTAGGTAAGACAGTTATCTTCTGAAGTTGGTTTTCAGATTCATTTCATTCCTTAAGACAGAACAGTCCAACTGGTGTTGGGTGCATGTGGCTCAGAAGAGGCCCCTGGGTTCCCATCCATTTGCTGATCCCTCCATCACACTGGTTGGAGCAGCAGCCAGGGTCTCCAGGCTCCCCCTCCCTTCTCTGGCTTCCATTTCCTGTCCCTGCACCAGGTGACAGTACAGGACAGCATGATGCAGCCTGCAAGCTTGGAGAAACCAGAAGCTCAGAGAGACTGCAGCTATGAGGATGAGGTGTGTGGTGCGGTAGAAGAGGGTGCCTACAGCTTGTGCTGTTGTGTTGCAGCCCCCAGCTGTTGGAAGTCAGCATTAGAACATTTGGGCTGGTTGCAGACATTAAAGAAAACAAAACAAAAAACCCACACACTTTACTGGAAGCAGCAGTGCGTTACATAAAGAAAATTCCAGAGTCATGGCTGAATCCTGACTATCATTGCTCATCCAAAAGCTACAATTTAAATTCGCTTACTGCCACGGCGAAGAGCTGCACAGCATCTGTATAAATTATGTGCTTCAGCGGGGCTTTTTGGCACTTTTATCTAGAGCTGAGTCAATCAGCTGCTAGATAAAAGCGCCAAAAAAGCCCCACTAAAGCACCCGATCTATACAGACATTGGGTGAGCCAGGTTCAGCTAATGCACTGCCTCTTCTAGACGTGCTGTGCTCGATGTGGGAGGACACCGAGTTTAAGGTAAAGTGCCAGTTTGGTTTGTCTTTGTCTTGTTTGTTGTTGTTTTTTTAATGTCTGCAGGCAGCCTTGATGTCTAAATTTCCGTAAAACTCCTTGATACTGCTAGAAGAGAACTCCTGTTTACCAGTGATCAGGCCTGCCAAGTATTCCTGCTTGAAGAGAGTAACTTATTACCAGTTGACATACGCAGATTGGTAGGATACATTAGAGAGAGGAGCAGACTCTGTTGTAAGGGAGGGCACTTACAAAACTAGACACTTCTTCCTTTCCAAGAAAATACCAAAATGCTAGAATGGCACAGCAGGACAGGAATATTACCTCCAAGGCCCATCACAGATGATAGTGTATTGCATGTTATATGTAAGTATCAACTTGACAAGTTGTAACATGCCAGTTTGGCCACCTGTTAAAATGATTGCGAATACTTTCTTCCAACAAAGAAGTTAAGCACAGAAATCCTTTGGAAATTGGTTATTTTCTTAATGTTTTGTTATTTCATCTGTTTTTATGATTGTTTATTATAAACTGTCCTGAGCCTTTTCAAGGAGGGCAATATAGAAATCAAATGAATACATACTTCCATATAATGCATAACAAACATAATGTCTGCCAGGGGCCTGAGACTTTTGTAGAAATTTATTCTAGAGATTGGCATTTGCCCCATTGTTGATATTTTTCTCTTGAAAATATTAATCCTTTTTTCTTTATGCTTTGTTGTATCTGTTTTATGTATTTTTAATTGAGGTTAGTGTCTCAGATATGGTCAGATTGGCTTTCTGTTACTTCTGCACAATGATACATACTAATTTAAAAAATAATCTTGGAATGATGCATACTGTTAATTTTTTACTGAGAAATAATGCTTGCATTTCCAGATAAGGTGTGCATGCTTTTTAAACCATTCTAGGTCAATTATTCTGAAATAACCACTTTTTATTATGCAGGGATATTGGAGTGATGGTAAAACTGTATCCAAACATGACTCCAGTACTACTACACAATACACAACTTGATCAAAGAAAGGTAATAAATATTGTCAAGCTACTTGAAAAATATGGAGACAAAGGGTTTCTTTGTTTTGTTTTGTTTTGTTTTTGTTTTTGTTTTGTTTTGTTTCTAAGCAACAACATTTTGAACTGTCACTGGGATATAGCCTGTATAGTCAGGTATGTCCATAGTTTCAAACTGAGATATTATATGTTCACTTTTATAGCTATCAGTGATTGGCAGTACCTTTCCTTCCCTCTGTCTTCTTTTATTTAGTGTCCAGACCTACCATAAAAACCACATGGTGAAGAAACTAAGTTTGCAAGAGGATACAGATTTTGTTAATCTGGATCCCAGTTTTGGTGCTTCTGCACACAAGATCAGATCCTTTTGGTCAAGAGTGGTCTTCATGGTTCTGTATGCCCTTCTGCCCCCAACACAAATGTAGAAGTGGAACAGGCCCAGCCACCTCTTGTTACTTTTGTACTACATATGGCTAGGGACCTACCAAATTCTCAGTTGCATGATTTTCACAGAAAACATGAAGAACAGTGGACTCCATGATTTTTGCAAATTCACTGCAAACCACCCCTCCCCCCCCAGTAATAATGTACCGGCAGGTATAGAAAAGTGCAGAAAGCCCTGCAGTCTTGGAGCGTGGGGTGGGGACTGCTTGCAGCAGGAGGCACAGAGGCTGCAGGCAGCTGTGCCATGGTTCTGGGCCAGCTGTCAGGCAGCTGGGAGGCTGCCCTGGAGTCCACAGAGCCCTGGCTCAGCTGATTGTGCACATGCAACCAGGCTGGGGCTCTGTTGACTTTGATGCAGCCTCCTGGCTGCCTGCCACAACCGACCTAGGACCCACTGTATAGCTGCCTGCAGCCTCTGCACCTCCTGCTGCGAGCAGCCCTGTCCTCACCCTCCACCCTTCTCTTCTCCCATGCTTCAATACTTGCAGGGCTTCCTGCCCTTTTCTCTGCTTGCTGGTAAGTGGTTTGGTTGGGTTTTTTTGCAGCGAGCCTGCCAAAATGGTGGAGCCCACTGCTTGAGGATGGCCCAAAACCACAGGTTAATTACCCTGATTAAACATAGAGAAGACGTTAACCCATACTTAATAACACATGGATTAAGGGTTTCCTCGGGCTTAATCAGGGGTAATTAAGCTGCAGTTCCAGGCCACATGGCAATCTGCAGGGAGGAGCGGAACTGCCAGGACCCCTCAGCCAACTAGAGGCATGGGAGCAGCCCACAAAAATGACAGCCAGCCCCAGGATTTGCCCAAAAAGTTGGCCGGCTGCCTCCTCAGTTTTGGTAGACCCCTACACATGGCATCTCCCTATTCAGTTAGTGTGGCCAAATGACCCTGTCCTGCTCTTTCTTCATCCTTCAGTGCAAAATTGTGCAATGTTTTTGCACTTGCATTCTGAAGGGCATGAGCAATATATTTCCACTGGTGATAGAATTATTCATACCATTCTCTGGCTACAATTTTTAGACTATTGCTGTGGTTAATTAAAAAACAAAAATTCTGCAACTTGGCCAAAAACACATTCATATCTCAGATTATTATCACAGATTTAAACTCGAACTCCTACTTGGTTCCGCCGGCACATAATTTTACTATGAGACATTAGTGGCCATTATATACGTGCTCTTGGAGTGGGGGTGGGGAGGGGAGACCTGGGGTGTCTCATGTATTAGTGTCCCCATGCTTAAAAATGGCAGCAGGGGTGCGTTATCTAAAGGTTGCCAAACAAGCTTTAGATAAAGCACTACCATCGTTTTTAAGTACTGGGGTGCTTATACACGAGACACTGGAGGCTTCTGGAAAGCGGTAATTACTGTGCATTGGAACAACCTCCCTGCCCATGTATAGGTGCCGTTTGGGTTTTTAAAATAAAATTAACAAAGAGGAAAATGGTTCATCTGTAAAGAAGCTTCTATAGATTAACATTTGTAGTACTTGCCATGTGGAAAAACTTCTTTGAAAGAGGTTTGTTGACCAAGTAAAATTATTGCAATACTGTGTTGGTACACTAGTAATGTATTTTCCCACATACCACATACTCCCAAAAAGCCCATGTACCTTGTTTCTGGACAGAAAGAAAATTCCAGAGTTATGGCTGAATCCTGACTCTCATTGCCCATCCAAAAGCTGCAGTTTAAATTCTCTCACTGCCACAGCCAAGAGCTGCTGCAAATTCATCAGAAGCTGTAAAAGGGTTAAAACTAACCCATACAACCTCTCCCTTCAGCTGGGAGAGGAGGACAGCTCCATCAGCTTTTTCAGCATTGCTGTGCTTCAATTCTATTGCAGAAATCGGCCTTCCCACCCAAGACACGTACCCCACTTTTGGAAGACTGATTTAGGGTGGGGAGGGAGTGTTTATATGGTGTGTGATCCAAGTCTCTTCAAAAAAGATTTTTCACCCTTGATGAAAAAAGAGTACTTATCCAGAAAATTACCGACTTATTTGGAATGTAACTGTTTGTTCAATTGAAAAAAGTTTTGTTTCTTTTGGAATCTGAGAGATCTTTCCAGATATGAAGTTGGTGGAAATGAATTTACTATCATGTTTACATTACCAGGCAGCCAATTCCAGTACTTCCATAGCTAGCTTGAAGATCTTGCTAGGTACATCATAGTAAAAGTTAAACAAAGCTTGTCACTTTTTGCAGCAGCTGCTGCAAGCATTGTATGCAAGTATAACAGGATCAGGGATCAGATCAGTTTCACTCTGCTGTTGGCTGACAGCTCAGATTAGGGACAGAAACAAGCACTGGAAAGAGGATTTGAGAAGGGCTTGAATATGGAAGTAGTACAGTCAAATCACCCGTAGTGCAGCAGCTAGAAATCTGGTTGAGGAGCAATTATAGTGCTCTTTCTTCTAGCAAGCTAAAAAGTAAAGCACTTGTATGTGAAGAAAAGGGAATGGTTTGAGAAGTTAGCTAGCAGCTAATCAGAAGAAAATAAGGCACTAGCTACAGTCTTTGGAAAGCATGCAAGAGCATCCCAATACACTCGCCTTTGAGGACAGGCATGCAGTAGGCAAGAAGACAATCTCTCCACATATTTTCCGTAGCCAGTAAATCACCTTCCCCATCATTTGTACAGGCCTTTGGCCTGCAGATTTTAGCACTCCTGCAGTGGCTCTGGTAGCCTTTCCAAGCCCAGGTGTGATGGGAAAGAGTGGGCAAGTGAAGAAGTGATTACTGAGAAGTCAGAAGCAAGTGATTAGAGGCGGGGGTAGAAGAAAAAAGACTCGGAATGAGTAGCTAGAGGATGTGATATAAAGGAAATGAAAAGCAAGGTAATGGGAAAAAAAGAACAAATGAGACGTAGGTCAGTCATTTGGGAAAAGATGCATATCAGTATTATAGAAGTGAAGCTAGATTGGCAAAGGAGTTTTAACAAAAACAATGTCATAAATTAAAGAATTTTACATTATATAAAGGTGAATATATTACAATTAAATATAGGAAAACATAGCCATGTGACATTTAAGTTAGGTAAATTACAGGTACTATGTATGACAGAAGTAGTTTTCTTCTCAATTAATAAACTTGTTCTTGGGGTCAGTGGATAGTAGGTCAGTATCAGTCACCAGTCCCACCTGGCAGAGAAACATACCTCCTGTATTTGTTGTCATGGAAAAATATTTTTTGCTTACATTTTGACCCTGCTCTGAGCTGTCTGGATGCTTATTTATTGAACATTGCTGTATTCCATCATCAAAAACCAGCCAGAAGGGAGGCAATGTTTTGAGAGAGAAGATAGTTTTGTGTCATGTTGCATATCCCTAATAGATTAGCAGGGTATTTCCATATTCAGGGCAAAATTCTCACATCTTATTCTGATGTAGAGCTCCACTGGGACTGGCTGAAAAAATATTGCCTCCATAGCTTCTGGTTTTGTGGTAGTTAACTTCTGCTGTTTACCCATTAGCTTGTTGTAAGACACACTGGCTGAATCCAGTTTATTTTGAACATTGTAAATACTTCATCCTAATTGGAAAGTATGTGCCCTACTAATTTCATATTGGGTAGGATTTTTTTTTTAAGCATGAGCTGTTAGTCTTACTAATTTGTATTCTTTTCTGAGTTTGAGAGAGAATTTTAATTTTTAAAATATTGTATCCTAGATTAACCATCCCAGTGCTCTAGGATTACAGGTTGGCCAGGAAATTAAGGTATGTATTTATTTACATACTTATTACCTTGAAAGTGTTCACAAACTACTGGTGTATATCTTTCTCAGTAGCTGAAAGTGTAACATGTATATCACTTTTCTTGTATGATGTAATTTGCATGTCATCCTTGTTTTTGTTTGGAGAAAGAAAATATACCATATTTCCTCAAATATAAGATGGCCCTAATTTATGAGAATACCCCCTCCCCATAAGTAGATTCCATATATTGAAAATGTGTGTATATTTGTTATAACTTTCAAGGTATAGAATCTAATTCTTGGAGGTTTGCCTTGAATTTGCCCCCTTTCCACTGCTACAGCAGGGAAAATAAACCTGGGGGGATTAGGTTGCCCCCTTGCCCTCTGCCCCTCCAGCAGCTTCCCCCTGTAGACCCTTTCGCTTCCCCTTTTTTCAGACAGTGCTCCCCCTGAGCCCATAAACATGAGGAGCAAATTTTAAAACATTAAAGGATGAATTAACTGATACAAGTTGTAGCACAGGTACATCACAAACATACTTTTAAGCAAAACTTTTGTACCTCTTTGTATAGAATACAGACTATGCATAATATTAGTCCAAAGCCAAAAGGCTCATGATTTACCACATAGTTCCTTAGGCTGGGCCCCAGCAGAATCAACAGCATTTCAAATCATGGTGACCCCATAGCTCAGCACAGTTCAGTGTGTGTGTGTACAGGTTTCCACCACTTTATGCAGGCTATGTATATGTGCTTTTGCTCTTATGCTATGACCCTTTTTATACCAAAAATTCATTATATGCAAGGTAAATTCACTCTTGTGCGATTGGTGTGGTGGAAGCCTGCAATCAGCTGCTTCGTGCAGTGCATTGTGGGAGTGATGGGCACCAAAATATAGTCTTCTGTGCGGATCTGTGCTCCTCGCTCTTTGTCTGTGACGTGTTTCTGTAGTTGCCATTCCCACTGCGATAGTGCCCTGTGCTTGTGTGTACTGTCTTAACCAAAATTGTCTTGTAAAAGTGGTAGAAATGGGCCTGCGGGTCAGTACAGTCGAGGTCTTGGAACGTATCCCTATTTGTTACATTGTAAAGTGGGTTCCCTTTATGTGAATTCAAGTTGTGTGCTATTTTCCAGGAACACACGTACAGCATAAAATGAGGGAAACCTGTACTTCCAGTACATGCCCCATACAAAGGATTCATGTGTTAATTAGCCCCACTTATGACTGAAACTGGATGTTCTTGTTGTGAGTCCTGGGATCCTCTAAAAAGTTACATGCAGACAAGGTGCAAGGCAGCCTGGTCTGGCTTCACCTCATGGAGGATGGAGCCATACTAATAATCTGCACCTGGCAGAGAGAGAGGAAAACGGATTCTGGGTGAACTGTTTGGGACCCTGTTTGGTGATGTTTGACAGATACAGAATACTGGTGAAGAAACAGGAATCATTGGAAATGGGAAAGAAAGGCACAACTCAGCTGTGGGAGTGAACAGAAAGTTGAATGTATTGGATGTAGTGGGTCACCATGACTTGAAAAAGCTCAGCACTGAGGGGGACTGAGTGTAATGCGCACTACTATATATCATATTCAGGTGGGCTGCACTAACCTAGCCCTCTTGTAGGTCCCCATTACACAGACTTGAACAGTTGAGCTCTGCTCAGTCAGTAGAATTTGGAACTGAGTTGGCAAAAAATAAAAGGATCGGTATGTGTTTCCAAGATGGATCCTGTGTTTTTTATAGTCAAGCTCAGCATTGGCTAACTTTTAATCACCTTCATAGTTGATTTCTGTTACTGAATATGTGCTGCTTTTGGCAGCAGTTTAAGGATAGACAATGCATCTAAAGAAGCTTTCTTATATGCAGTTGTAAGATAAGGAACTTTTTCCATGCAGACTGGAGGAGAGGAGGGAACTCATCTTATATTTGAGTAAATGTGGTAGTTATCTAATAGGAAAGACTGTAATTTACCCTATTTGAAAGCTTTCTATCCTTGTGAAAGTCCTGATGCAGCATCCTTGAAATACATGGGTTTCAGTGGGAGAAGAAATGAGCACCAAATCAATGTGTTTAAACAAAATAGACATGATTTTGCTTGCCTTTTCATATTCAACCTTATATTTCTTTAATGTCAATTAATTCTTACACTGACATTTAATATAATCTTGCCACAGTCTAAAATCCGTTTCAATTCTTCTTAACAGGTGAAATATTTTGGACGTGATCCAAGTGATGGTAGAATGAGACTTTCCCACAAAGTACTTCAGTTCCCAGCGACACCTGTGGTGAAAACCCTAACTGACAAAAACAGTATTGTAATGAGTGGTACAAGTCCACAGTCCTCTAGCTCATCATCCTAATGACTAGCAAAGTCTTGAAACAGTTATGGATATTTCAGTATACTGTTCTTCTCTGAAAAATAAACAGAATAGACAGCTGTTGTGTGAATGAAAACCTTGTCCCCCACAGGTTTGTACATTGTACAAATAATATTTTAGTTTTGTAAAAATGCCATTTGATGCCAGTTGATATTTAACCATTCAGAGTAGTTGTCTATTTTCTTTTCCCGTGTTATGGTTTCAACAAAAAAATTATGTTCACTGTGGTACAGTTATAAACTATGTAAAATTGAAAAGTAAAAATAACAGTTTTGGGCACTCTAAATAGTTCAGTATATCTGAACTTTCAAAAAAAGACTTATTGTTTTTTAAAGTTCACTTGAAATGCCACAGAGGAATTATAAAGCCTATTCTTAAAGCATTGTTGTAACGATTGCTGCTTTTTTAAAAAATTCTAAAACTTTTTAAAAATAATTTTAGAGTTTTAACATGCATTTGGCTGTACGCTAGGTTTAATTTTAAGCATTTGCAGAAAAAAGATCATGTGTATATTTTCATAAGTCAACAGAATAGTAAAATGAGTGGCTATAAAATGTGGAGAAATCATGCAGACATTGGCAAATAAGAAAATTAAGTAGCAGTAAAAACTTGCAATATTGTCATTGGCTTAGAATCTAACTCTAAATTGGAGGACCTACTTGCTTATCTTTAAAAAATGCAAAAATAAATTCCATTCAAATGCATTTTTAGGAAATATATTGGAGGTTGACTCTTTTTTTTTACAGCTGGTTCTGTAAAAAAAACATGGTGTTTTAAAGACACCCTCTCTTTTTTTTTCCAGGAAAACATCACAGTAATTAATGAAAAGAATTCTGCTTCACATAAAGTAATGTGTTAGACCAGGGGTGGGCAAAATGTGGCCCGGGGGCTGAATGCAGCCCGCCAGGCCATTATATCCAGCCCACGGGGCCCCTAAAAAATTTAGAAAAGTAATATTTATCTGCCCTGGGATGCCTGTCATGTGGTCCTCAATGGCTTGCCAAAACTCAGTAAGAGGCCCCCTGCCCAAAGTAATTGCCCACCCCTGTGCTAGACTCTATAGTATAGATGATAGTAAATCAGCTAATGTTTACAAAGAGGAGGCATCCAATTTCAGCAGTAATGTAAAGCTTCAAAATATTGTCTAAATTCGAGAACAGCAGTAATGAGAATCAAAGAACCATCTGTTGCATTGGCTGGAGAGCAGGTCTATGTAGTTCTTTAAAATAGCCAATTTAGTTCTTGAAAAGTATTCCAGTGTAAATTGTAAAGGTAAAAGTAAGAAACCCTCCATTTTGACAGTCCTGTACAAAGGGAAAAATGAACTCCTCAACCTTTGGTTTTTGAAATGTGACACTTAGTTTTACACCATGGCTACCAAAATATAATTCTGAGTCAAAATGCAGCTACAGTACACAACACCAAGATGAAAGACATTAGGAAAAAATCTGCAGGAAATGTGAAAACACTTTATTCAGCGTGAGTAATGTTAATCTCTGTTTCATGAATCACCATTTCAAATATAAATACTGTCATTTGTGGTATTTAAAATGAGAATACCGTAAATGTTCATAAACCCAGAATAAAATAAGAAGTTAGGAATGTTAGGGCATTACAGTAGCATCTTTTTAATTGACTAAACCAGTGATGCTCAGCCTTTTTCCCTGGAGGGCCAGATGGGCAGTGCCTGGTCCAACCACAGGCCAAAGGCTGGTTCCGGTCTGGCACCCAGGGCCAGCACAGTGCGGCAGCCACCATATAGCTACATGAAGGGCTATAGCAACTTGGCCCTGTGGGGGTGGGAGAGTAGCTTAATTTAGCCCTGGGGTGGGAATATGGGGGGTATGGGCTGGCATCGTGGGAGAAAGAGGGCATGGCCCAGCTCCTACTGGGTGTGCAGGGCTTGGGGTTTGAGAGTGTGGCTGTGGGGAGGGTGGTTGTATGAATGGCTACTGCTCCCTCACCACCAAATTTCCCAGTCCATGCAGAACCCCACGGTCCAGATGTGATGGCTCCGTTGGCCCATTTGGCTTGTGGGCCAAAGGTTGAGCACACCTGGAGTATTTTCAAAAATCATGTTTCTAAAAACGTTGTTAGATTATGTACACAGTGATCTCATCACATCTCTTAGAGTCAAAAGGATGTTTTAAAAACACTTAGAAGATAAAGCGTTTTTCTAAATTGATGTGTGGAGACTTTCACAATTAAGATACTTCTCATGCTGATCTGGATTTGGAAAATCCTATTTAAGAAGAAAAAACCAAGTCCTTTATTAAAAGGCAAATGGGTTCTAAAGCTGCCAAAGAAAAGAAATGAAACAGTATGTAGGGAAATACTTACCTCTTAATATAAAATAAACACTGGTATTTGGAAGAGGTGAAATGTGAATGTATAGCAACAATTATTTTGCTGCTTTACTCTGAGTAAATATTAAGAAAGCATTGACTGGCACTACTGGATTTTGAGTTATTTTTCTTTTGATTTCATAGTGTAAAGCTGAATTGTAAATCTTACCCTGATAGTCTTCTGCTTTCTACCCTATTCTGGTATTTCTAATGAAAATCTTTTTTTAAACTTCCTGCATTATACTGTGTTATTACAGGTGAATACATTTTAGGTCACAGAAAACAAGTAATATTATTTGGGTATCACAGGCTCATCTCACATTTGCTCTCAATCAAAAGCTGAACAGAAGATGTTTTACCTTCTTATGGGACTACCTTTGGGAACTCTCTCCTCTGCACCACCTTCTTCTCAAGAGTACAGGTTATTTTTCATAAGCACAGGAAATGTTTCTCTTTTTCCTTTTAATAGTGGATGAGAAGGCCAGGAGACAGGTCTGTTTTTAAATAATGCATATCTCTTGGTTTTTGAGGCACATCATTGCCTCGTAACTTCAGTCTTGCTGTTGTTTGCTATCTGACGTAAATCAAATCCTGGTTTTATGCATTCACTTTTGAAGCAGGATGATCAGATCATTTGAGTAGCTAGGACTTTTTAAATGAAATTTTAGTCTAAGGTTAGTCACTTAATTCTGCCTCTATGTGGGCATGGTCCAAGAAAAGATGCTGGCATTGTAATATTTCATAGTTGGTTCGATTACTTCTATATCAAGTTTGGTCACATTGAAAAGTGAAACTTGCGTATATGTGTATGTGTATATATGTATTTTCTACTTGCCAGCCATGCAAATTCAAATTATGACATGAAAGTCAGATTCTTTCTGTTAATACACTACCACCAGTGTGAAAGAATTTACTTTTGGAGCTTAGGTAACAACTGATGTTTCTCGAGCCAAAATGAACCAACCTTTTTCAATAACTGAATTTGGTCTTCTAAAGTAGTAGGAGTAAAAACAGGTTTCTATGAAAGTATGGAGGCATAATTCAGAAGACCCACCTCATGTTGATATTTAGAATATAGAGTTGTTGAGACTTTGGGGGGGTTTATTTCCATAAGAACTTCCATTTACTGGATCAGACCACAGCTCCATCTGGCCTGGGATCCTTCCTCTCTCAGTGGTACAGTGTGGATTCTGAGGTGAAAAGGACATGTCCTGAATTTTCTACCACCTGCTTCTGTCCCACAGCAGCTTCTAACAGAGGTTTAGGAAGTTCTGATTTGGAGGTTGCATCTCTGTCTTCCATGTTCAGTATTTACTGATGGGCCTTCCCTTTTTTAATTTTTACAGTTCCCTTTTGAACTGAGCTAAAGTATCAGGCCTCCACAATATCTTGTGGCAATGAGCTGCACAAGTTAATTGCATGTTATGTGAAATAGAACTTCCTTTTGATCGTTTTAAAGCAACTACCTAATAGTTTCATGTCCTCCTGTCTCTGTTCAGAACATACTGTCTGACTTTTCCCTCCAAATGGCTAAGGAGAGTCAGCTAAATGATAAACCCCTGTTTACTTTCTCTGCCCTATTTAATATGTTGTAGACCTCTGTCACGTCCCTCCTCAAGCATCTCTCCTAAGATGAAAAGTCCTGCCCTATTTTGTCCCCGTCTAGAAGCCCCTTTGTATCGTGACCATCCTTATTTCCATTCTCTGTACCTTTTCTAGATCTATATCATCTCTTATGATGGTAGGCCCAAAACACCACAAAGTAGTCAAGGTGTGGGCACAGCATAGATTTTATAAAGGGGTATAATGATGCTTTCTCTTTTGTTTACATTTCCCTTATTAATAATTCCTAATATTTTGTTTGTGTGTTTAACTGTTGGTAAAAACTGAGCTGATGTTTTTTGTGAAATTTCCACAGTGACTTTCTGGGTGGTAACAGCTAAAATGTATATGTGCACTGTGAAGAGTTCTATTTTGGGTTATTTTTTTCTTACTAGTAGTAGGTTTGATACTTTTGTGACCATCAAAAAGTCATTTTATGCCCCAAAATGCATAAATTTAACTAGTTCTCATACTTTAAGATGGAAGGGAAGGAACCTTACAGATCATCAAGTCGAGGCCCCCTGCACTTGGGCAGGAAAGACTGCTGGGGTCAGATGACCCCAGCAAGGTGAGCGTCAGGATGCTTTTTGAAGATCACCAGGGTGGGTGACTATACCACCTCTGCGGGGAGCCTGTTCTTAATGAGAATGGGGTGAGAGACAGTGTCAAAGGCCTTCCTAAAGTCCAGTATTTGTTCAGTATAAGAAATAATCATACAAAAAAAAAGTTGAAGTTGTCTTGGATAACAAGCTGATTTCTTCTGTAAGGATAGCCAACTGAAGTTTTTAAGTCAGATACCTTTCAGGTGACAGACTGAGGGGGTTTTTTCATGAGTCATGACCATCCTTTGGTGTGATAAAATTCTTTAATGAGAAAAGGAACCCTCAGAAGCTGCAGTTGCTCCTTTAATTCCTTGGTGGTATCTAAAAACTACTTGCTGTTCTTTACCATGTCTCTTGTGTTTATCTGTGGTTTAAATACAGCAATTTCAACTGTCACTGTCTCAATCTAATCCAAGCATTTCAGTCAAAACATGCAACTTCGATTTTGAGAAATATAAAGAACTGCTGGACTGTGTTGCTGATAGGCTTTTCCATAACTTGGAGTTCTTCTCAGAACAGCTGCTTCACAATTTGCCACTGGTGAGTTCATTATAAATCTAGGGCCACTGATATTTGTTTGCACTTTGGATTCCTGGCAAGTGCTCGGGAACTATGGAGTTATTTACCTTTTTGGCAATGCTTGGTTCTCTTAGTGGCACTTGTTAAAGTGGATGCATCTTTCAAAGCAAGGTGCGTGCAAGGCTGATATATCTAAGGGAGAAAATTCTTCAAATTCCCCTTTTTGTTGATGTACTACATAGACAAAAGTAATCAATTCAGTTCCTTTAGCAAGGTGTGTTAGTTCCTTTTAAGGGAAAATTGTTCACCAACACTGACATTCAAAGTCCATTTTCATAACCTCAGTTAAGAACAAGAATTTTGATAATATCTATTTTTTTCTGAATGTTATTAGTTGTATACTTTTCATCTTTTTAAATTGTTTTTATATCACCTTTATATTTTGGAACTTGTCCTTCAGTAAAACCAAGTTGATCTTACTCTGAATAATCTAGTAGGAATTTTCATCTATCTAGATCCTTTGAAGTTTGATATCTTGATCTCTGAGCCAGCTCATTTATCACCAGAAACTGTCAAGACTCCTTAGTAGGATGATACCATAGCTGCAAATGTGGCTCCTGAAAGCTGTGATAAAAT